AACACTGGATATCAGTTTCAGAAGATGCAAATGAAACGAGGTCGTCTGCAAACAGCAGCATTCTCGACTTCTCATCTCCTACACTGATACCCTCATCGCCTTGGCGGCTCCTGACTATTCCATCCATGTACAACAAACAGGATAGGGGACAGGACGCAGCCTTGGAGGATACCATTGCGAACTTTGAATGATTTCGACTTAGGGCCATTAACACTGCGGAAGCACCTGCTATCACATTACAGTGATTTGATGTCATCAATCCCGAATGCACTAAAGCATGTCCACAGGCTGTTGCGTGGGATCCGGTCATACACTTTCTCTAGGTCCACAAAACACATGTGCACTGGCTGGGCGTACAACTACGATTTCTCAACAATCTGGCGCAGGGCAAATATATGGTCAGAGGTGCTTTGACCGGGCCGGAAGCCACGCTGCTCTTCTTGGATCTTGAGGTCAAGTACTTCACGGCACCTCCTTTCTAGCACCTTTGCATAAACTTTACCTGGGAGGCTCAATAACGTTTCTCTTCTATAATTTAAGCATTTTCTGTGGTCTCCCTTCTTGAATAAGGGTGCAATAACTCCCTTTCTCCAGTCCGCTGGTGCCAATCCCGCGGTCATCGCAGTTTGACAGACACGTGTTAGCCAACATATGTCTTGTTCGTCTAATGCCCTGAGCATCTTAGGGCGGATTTCGTCAATTCCAGCAGCTTTTCCGTTTTTCAAGCTTTTCATAGGTTGTGTAATTTCATCTACAGGGAGAGTAATATCCGTACAATTCTGCTCTACAAGCGAGTCTTCCTGCTGTTGCGCGAGGTTAAGGACTTCCTCAAAGTACTCCTCCATCGCCGAAGAATGTCATCATCCTTGTTCTGCCCTTCAAGACTGAGACTGTCCACCTTTTCATCTTGGAGCCGGCTAATGGTTTGCCTGAATGCTTTGTTTTCTGTGTGGAAATTGGACGCCAACACCTCACCGAACTTGTGTCAGCATTACATGGTTAAAAAGATACTGCAGAGAAGTGGATGTTAAATTATGATGGTAGGTAGTCAATGCCTGTATTAGGAGAGAAGCGGATCTCTCAACCGACCATCATTCTTGCCTTGGCGCTCTCTGCTGCAAACGATGGAACACATTACGAAGAATATGGAGCAGAGAATGCAATTCTCCTTTGCGTAAGCAAGCGCGAAATGAACTTCCTTATCGGCACCAGAGGCTCAGTTATCTGTCAGCAAGTAAACCGGAACATGCAAGAACTAGCTTGTAAGCGAAGAGCTTTGATATAGGATGCGGTACGAAGAAACGCGCAATGCGGTAGCGTAGGTAGTGGCCAAAGGCAAATCCGTTCGTCAGAAAAGTTCTGTGAGGAG